ATCTAGCATTGTGTCAGATATGAATACGAGGTTTACTTTGAGATTTTGGTAAAGTTTGCATAATGCTTTAGGTACGAAGTTGCGTTTGATTTTTGCTTATCATCCGTAGACATATGGTCAGACGGAGAGGACGATTGAGTCACTTGAGGATCTTTTTAGAGCTTGTGTTTTGGAACAGGGAGGTTCTTGGTATAGTTACTTGCCTTTAATTTAGTTTACTTATAACAACAGTTTTCATTCTAGTATTAGAATGGCACCGTTTAAGGCTTCGTATGGTAGAAGGTGTAGAACGCCTTTATGTTGGTATGAATCTGGAGAGAGTGTTGTGGTTGGACCTGAGATAGTTCAACTAACTACGAAAAAGATTAAGATGATTCAAGAGAAGATGAAGGCTTCTCAGAGTCGTCAGAAGAGTTATCTTAATAGAAGGAGGAAAGCACTTGAGTTTGAGAAGGGAGATCATGTGTTTTGAGAGTTACTTCGGTAACAGGTGTTGGTCGGGCGTTGAAGTCGTGTAAGTTGACGCCACGTTTTATTGTCCCTTATCATATTCTTGAGAAAGTAGGTGCAATGGCTTATCAGATTGCTTTGCCACTGTTGCTTGCTAATCTCCATGATGTATTACATGTTACTCAGTTGAGGAGATACATTGCGAATCTGTCTCATGTGGTTCAATTAGATGACGTGCAAGTAAGGGATAATTTGACTGTGGAGACATCACCTATACAAATAGAGGATCGAGAGTTGAAGCAACTCCGTGGTAAGGATATTGCTTTGGTTAAGGTCGCTTGGGGAAGACCAACAGGTGGAAGTGTGACTTGGGAATTGGAGAGTCAGATGAGGGATTCTTATCCTGGGTTGTTTTTTTAGGTAATTTTTTAGGACGAAAATCTTTTAAGTGGGGGAGAGTTGTAACACCCCGATTTTTATTTGCTATTTACTTATTTATTTTATTAATTATTACATTATATAGTAATTAATTAAATTGTGTGACTCGGTGAATATTTGAATCATTTGAATATATGTGTTATTTGAATGATTGGGTTTATGAGTAAAAATATCAATTATTTAGCATTGGGCCTTATATGTTACTTTAGGGAGTAAGTGAGATAAGCCCAATACAGAAAAACAAGGGTTAGTAAGGTGTATCTAACAAAGAGGATAGAGTTAGTATTATAAAATAAGAGAAGAGAAGAAAAGGAGAAAAGAGGAGAAAAGAGGAGAAAAGAGGAAAATAGAAGAAAGAAACCTAAAGTGTCTACATCTAAGTAAGGGTATGAATTTTCTTATAATTGTGGGGTTGTACAATAACATGTAATGGGTAGTGGTAGGAGTTAGGAATTTCAATTTCAATTCTAGGTTTTGATACACTTAGGTTTGAATTGGGAATCTTGAATTGATGTTTGGAAATCATGTTTTTATGTCAGTAATAGATGCTATATGATAGATACATGCCATAATACATTTAATTGGTAAAAAATGAGTGTTAGAACAAGATTTGGGAGCAAAATTCGTAACAAGACAGAACTATCTTGTAGTAGATTTTTCTGCATAATTTAAGGGCGCTTAGCGCGGGTAAGGGCGCTTAGCGCGGGTAAGGGCGCTTAGCGTGGTTACCTGGGAAAAAAATAATTATTTATGCATGAATGATTTAGGGGTTTATATGCTTATGATTTATCATTGATTTACATGAGTTTTAATAATTTATTCGATGTGTTTTGGATTAATTTTGGATGATTTTTGGTGAGAAACATGATACTTGAATTGTATGCATGTATGTTATGAATTGGTGATGAATGAGAGTAACATGGATTGGCTTTTCTATATGTTATTGTGGTGTATTGATTTGATAAATACCATGAGTATGCATTGTATGTGATTAATTTTGTGATGCATGCATATGTGCAAATTGGTGAAGATAATTCAAATATGTTGAATTGTGTGAGATATGCTTGTATTATTAAGATCTGGGATGGTCTTAATTACATATATTCGTTGTTTTACACATGCATTCATTAGAGGTTGATGCCCGCTTGATGATTCTGGTCCTATGGTGGGGATCTGGAATGATTTAAACTATATGTTCATATTTGGTGGTTCTAGTCTTGTGAAGGGATCTGGAACATTTGGTACCACATGCATATTGTATAGAGTTGTTGTAACACCCCATTTCTACCCGAAGGATAATAACAAAATCAGAGTTCAACATAAATAAGATGCTATATTTTCAACTAAAAATCAATCTTTATTTAATTGCATACAAACAGATACATAACACTTAACTCGTATGAACCAATAACAATCTGATTTATTCTTCAAAATCAAACAATTTTTATTGATAAGCAACGAAATATACATACTCAACTTCAATTCACTTAACATCTTTTATTCAACTAAAACAACCACAAGACAATAATTATTTCATGTAATTAACTTAAAAACTCAGCAAATGAAATAATAATCAACAACTAAACATCAAGCGTTCATCCCCTCGAGTATTACGTATCAGAGCGAAAACACCGACTCGAACTAACGAGGTAATGACTATCCTTCTTGATTACCTGCATGTTACCAACAGAGGGCAACATTCAAACAGAAGGGGTGAGATATCAAACTATATAATTAGTCATATGATAAATAATATATTAAATCAGATCATATAAAATCACCACTTCACAACTTACAAACAACTTTAATCACAATAAAACATCAACACGACATAACTAATAAATTCACAGTTTTTAGATAATACTTGTCACAACAAGTTAACAACATAAAGCAACAACAAATCTATCTTCACCACAAATCAAGATGCAACATCAAATGCGACTCAATCACAATGCACATGCATGTGGTACCATCAGAGCAGAACTCCAAACTTAAAAATTTCCAATTAATAGAGGCATCAACAAGGTATAAGCCTTCTTCGCAGTTTGCCAATATAGGCCTTCACAAAAATCCACCAGTACAGGCCATCACAGAGTATGCAAATGTATGTGACTCAATGAATGCATCATCACATACTAACAACAATCATCATTCATCGCAAGGCATAAGCCTACATCACCATTATTACCAGCAAATAAAGGTAATTCATCACCATCTAAAATCTCTGCAACTTCACATTATCAACAAGAATTCACAGAGACAATCACAACAACACAACATCTCAACATTGGCCATAGACCTATAACATAATATTGCCCATAAATAGAGACAATTCAACCAAATTCATCATCACCTGCAATTTCATACTTTTCAGCAAGATATACAACACAATTCCATAAATCGGAACCATTCAACTTAATTCGACTTCACCTGTAAATCAACTTTATCCTGCATAATTCTAACAAAATAAACCAACTAAAAATACTCATATGTATATACGACTCACTCCGATAATTTCAACTAATTCCGGTTAACTATTTTTACCACCTAAATCTACAAATTAGGCTAATCAGTACTGTTTTATATATTGTTATTACTACTATTTATTTATACTGCTACTAATCAATTATTCTACTAAATTATGCTACCTCTGTTATTTAGCTTACTACTATTATTGGTCTCCGCCAAAACTACTTGTTTGCTATCTACAACTTCGATTACTACAACTTCCTGCCAGTGACAAATATTAGTTATAAACCAAAACCAATTTCAACTTATTCCTCCTGTTACTGAAATTCTCCGTTATAATTTATGTATGATAATTTGCAATTTCTACATCTACTGATACTTCCTAACAATGCTCAGCTAAATTAGTCCATGCACTACTATTTCTGCTACTCTTACATATACATCCTGCTATTCATTTGACTAAAGCATTACAATTTATTCCTGCAACTTCTTTAATCCAATCTGATACTAAATTATTTTACTAATTATATTAACTTATTAATAATATAAGATATGACATAGTCTTTCCACCACAACTATATGTTCTTTCGAGTCTCATCTTAGGATAACAACTCAATAATAGTCATAACAACATCATAATAGAAATATGATTTAAATAAATTGCAGAACAACTTCATCAACACATTATGAACATTCACTGACAACTAAAATTGTAGGACTGATAATCTTCACAGAATCACAATATAACCGAATCGACAACAATTCATGGCACAAATTTATACAACCCAACCCCACATACGGTTTATCATATACCCGATTATAGAGATTGAACCCTACCCTTACCTGGTTTGGGTTGAAGGTAACTCTAAGGGTCTCTGATTGAATCTCCTCTTGTCCGCTTAGTGTAACTTCCACGTATCCCTCTTCTTCTACTCAAAACCCTTATTTTTCTCTTCTCTGCAACTTCTCTTGTACCAAAATCTTCCAAGATTTTTTTCTCTCTAGATCAGAATCAAAGCTGAAAATTTTCCCAAATATGCAGCTACAGTGCGATGATGATATCTCCAAACTCATACCTTATTTTGAAGATCCCAACAATCAAAAGTTAGATTTAGGTGTTGCGAACCTACCCTCAAAATTTGAGCATGATCCAACAGTTAATGAATCGGGGGTTGCCGATTTAGTAAGACTGTTGCAATAAAAACGGGAATGAATTTCTCTCATCTATTCTCTCACTTTTTCTCAATTAACCTAATTCCTTTTATATCCACTTAACCTTGTAATTCTAGTAATTCTTATTGGTCCAATATCCACACTCCCATATTTACTACATGACATCACTTAAATAAGTCCAACAATTAATCTTATAATGCTCCAATATATTTCATATTATTAAACTACCATTTAATCAAATAATGTCACAGAGCAACTTAACAATAATTCACAACATTGATCAACTCCAACTAATAATTTTAATTAAATAATTAATTAAATTATCGAGGCGTTACAGTTGTATCTGAGTCACATGTGTCGAAGTTGAATGTTGTGTCTTGATTTGCTCTAATCTCAATAAATGCCCTATTAGAACCTCGTTGATAGTAGAGGTCACAAGAAAACTCACTCAGTGCTTGAGCGGCAGATATTCATTTTCGTGGGTCCTTATTCAGTAGGCGTTTGACAAAATCTTTTGCTTCTGAAGATAAGGCTGGCCAAGAAGCTTCTTCAAAGCCTGGATCAACTTTCAAAACTTCCCTAAAAATACCCGAGTCTGTTCTAGCCCAAAATGGACGACTACCACATAATAGAATATATGCTATCACACCTATACTCCACACGTCATCTTCTGTGTTGTAAGATCTATGAAGAACTTTCGGAGCCACATAATAAGCACTTCCAACAATGTCATTAAGCCTCTCATCTGAAGAATGTGATATAAAAAGTTATGAAAATTGCTCGATTCCCGTGAGAAAAAATATACTAAAACCAAAACCAAGTAAGGATTTGTGAGGAAAATCTTGGTCTGACAAAATATGATAATCCAAAGTCTATAGCTTTTAACTCAGAACTTTCAGCTTTTGAAGTGTATAAAAAAATTTGAATGAGAAAATGCAAAACAAAAGAACAAACAAAATCAATGATTCAAAACAAAATAAACCCACATCCAACCAAAACAAAATTAGAGCAAAACACATAACTAACCTTATAAGCACCTTCATATTCTCCAACCTATAATCAAATACACCGAAAAACATAAGAAAATAAGAAAAAAATCAGTGAATTGGGTAGGTAGGTACCTCTTCACCCATCAAAAAAACTTTAGAATCAGCAGACATTTCTTTATCAAGTGCAGAATTAAGAGCATCTCTCACTGTATTTCAGACTATACCATAAAAAAACAATGATTTTCAAGATCTAAGCATCTTCAGCATAATTTACGTTAGAAGAAGACGATGAAACGAAAAAATTAGGGTTTCCTGAAGAAACTCACCTCATTGCAAAATACAACCAACTCAAAATGTTCCAGAGTGTTGGTTAGGACACTCTGTTGTACCCCAAAATTTGCCCTCTCATTTATCAAGACTTTTCTCACAAGATTTCTTTGACTCAAGACTGGATTAGGGTTTGGTCAGCTCAAGGCATACCATCTTGCACTGATGACCCAAAATTAAGGTTTGAGGTTGCACAAGGATTTTTGGACTATCAATGCTTCATATAACTTTCAAACATCATTATGGATCCCTAAGATCACTCAGGACAAGTTTTAAGTTTTGAACTTTGATCAGTCAATTGGACAGTTGACCTAAAAATCAGTTGTATTGGGGAAAAAGTCAACCATGGCCAATTTACAGTCAAATTTCATAATTCTTGATCCACATCAACATTTTAAGCTTATATATATCATTTGGTCAAGTTTGGGTCACAATCCCTCAAGAAATTTGATCAAATCACCAAGAGGGCAAAATGGTAAAAAATTAGGGTTTTGACTAAGGAAAGGCAATTTCTGATTTTTAACCTAGCAGATGACCAATTGAGTTAAAGCATGATTTCAAGGATTCAATTTCATCATCTTGACCTAATAGCATGGTTCAAAACATTGCAATTTCATTGGATTGACAGATGAAATTTGCAGTCAACTGATCAAAAGTCAATTGTACGCTGAAAAGTCAAACTTTGACTTTTTGGTCAAAATCAAGTGCCAAGGGTCACAATTCATTAAAACATGTCAAAATGTGAAACTTGTTCATCAAGAAATCCAAGTTTGAAGATTAGGGTTTAAATTTGAAAATTTTCTTAACTTAGAAATTTTCTAAGTATAGAAAATTTCTTATTTTTTATCAACTTTAGGCCATTTTTTCACCATGATGCATAATGATTCAAAGAAAGTTCCTAACATGAAAGTTGTAGAACTTCATGAAATCTACAACTTTACTTCACAGAATTTTCTCTAAAGATTCTTGGATCTCAAGATATAAATTTATGTATACATGCTCATGAACTAAATAACTTAGTGAAATTTTGCCCTAATTTAGGCAGGTTTTGGACCCAACTTCATGGCAATTTTTCACCTAGTTCCAACAGGTATCTTGAAATGAATTTCAAAGATGAGTTATAGAGCACATTTCAAGCTTTCCAAAATGTCAAAGAACTCCTCAAGATCATTTTTTATTAGAGAGAATCGAAGAGATAAATTTGGCAATTTCTCCCTTTTTGTCCAAGCCATTTCATGAAGAACAAAGTTCCAATTAGTACCTATGCTGCCTAATCCATGATTTACAGGTCCAAAACTTGTTCCTTACTCCTTAATTTAATGCTTACTCAGTTAACAAAGCTTTGATCCAAGCCCTAGAGCCATTACCCAAGATGTAATTCCATAAATGGCATAAAGTGACCATTGCCATTTTGAAAAAGCTCAACTTTTGCCACTTTCCAATTCTTGAGCATTGAACCTGTCTCCATTATACATATAAGTCTTGCAGGCCTAAAGCAAATGGTACAAGTATATACCAACCCTAACAAAGCGAGTACAAGCATGGTAAGCCTTGTCCCTTCACTTTAATTCAAAAGCAAGAAAGGTTGCAAAGAGGTGAGAACTGGCACATCTGTTGGAGGGTTGACATGAAACTAATTCCATACTAATATGCAAACATAATATAACACAACACACGATTACTTGAGGCCTGAAACACTCCCAAACTCAAAAACACCAGAAAACTGTCAAGACTTGCAGTTTTTGCATAAGCATACCAATCTCCCATTTGGCTTGTGTGTTTCAAGTCTTGATCATCAAAACATCTTGCCTACTTGATATCTAACCAATCCAGACCTTCATCCTTGTACTGTAACCCCTTCTCCATCATCTACAATTTTTGTTTTCAAAGCTTGCAGGTTGACTTGGCCAAGAAGTTTCAGACACTTTCAAAGCAAGGCAAGGGTGGGAATACACTCAGGGAGGTTCAAGGAAGCTCAAGCAAGCATCAGGCCTCCATCAAACTCACTCCAGTTCCATCCAAGATTTCAACTGAAGGAGGTAAAATCTCAACTTCTCTCTCCTTGTACAGGCAACCATTGGCCACGATTTGTGAATAAATAATGTAGTCCTCATTGCAACAAAACTGTACATATCTTTATCTTGCATTTATTTGACCTGAGTTGAGAGAATTTAGAACTTGAAGTTTCTGAAAAATTTAGGTTTAAATTTAGGGCTTTTAAAATTCTTTTTGATTTTTGATTGTTAGCTTACATAACTTATATGGTTAGAATCGTGAGATCAAGTACTACAACTTTCATGTTATGAGTTTTCATTTTCATGGAAGAATGAGAGAGTTACAGGATATCTGGCCAAGCTTGGGGAAGAAGATGAAGTACAGGGCAAGGATTTTGTTCATGTTATGTTATTTTTATTTCACTTAAATGAATGGATGTATAGCCACCCCAATGGCAAAGTAGCGCGCTGGTGAGACCCATGTCCTGGGTTCGAACCTGGGCGCTACTTTTGTTTTCCATATTTTTTTTCATTTTTTCAGCTTTGTGATCTTTTTGTAGGATGGGCCTCCATATTTGGGCCATAGTTCTTTTTGCTAACATGTTGTCTCTAGTCTGCTTACTATACCCCATGACCCATTATTTTCCATACATTTTTATTTAATTTATTTTTGTTTTCATTAATATTTTCTTTAATGTATAAAAATCCAAAAAAAATATAAATTTCATAATATTGCATTTTTTATTTTACTTTAGTTTATTTTTCACATAAAAATATATATTATTTTTAATATATATCATATATTTTCTTAATAAACTTGTAAAATATAATTAAAATATATTTAGTTTAATTTATTTATTTCTTTTTCATCTCATACTTATACATATTTATTTTTGCATATATAAAAAACTTTATATTATTTATACAATATTATTTATTATTTTAACATAAAAAATACATTAAAAAATAGTATATAAGAACTTTATTTTCTTTTAAAAATAGTAATTAGGGTTAAGCCTCCCTTCTAAAAATTAATTTCTTTTCCTTATAATTTTAGGTTTAGATTAAAATTTCTTTTACGTAAAAACAAAACAAAAATCTTTTCTTACATGTACATTATATTGCATCTTTAAATATTGTATATTATCTATTCTAATATTCGTACAAATTCAATTTGGTTGTAATAATTTATTTAGGTTTACATTCTTGCAAATCCCCATTCAAATTTGTATTCCCCCTTCCCATAAAATTGTTGTAATAGCTTAGTAATATTTACATTACGCAATTTACCGCTTTACATGCTATGATTAGTAATTAGGGTTTGTATGATAAGATCAAAACAAAGAAAAATAGAAAACCCTAAATACAAGATAAAACCAAAGCATGAAAATGATACACTTGCACACAAGCATCCTTAGGGTTTCTCCACTTGGTTGCCTAAAACAAAAATGGCCATATTACGCATGCAAAGTATCTTGGAAAAACAAACTAGTATAAGATCATAGTCCCTCGATGACACTATTCAAGGTTGCCTTACAAAAAATGATCTTGGTCCCTCAAAAATGCTAAGATACTTTGCAACATTGCTAATCATGGTTATACGATGACCCACGCCCGTCCCGTTTACATCTAAAGATAGGTTTGCTTACCAAATCAATGGTAAGACAACAATGTCAAAGGAATAGAAAATGCATAAGAAATATATTTGAGTAGGTAGATTACTTCTAGTTACTTGCTCTAATTTCAAACAACTATCCTTGCTATTTTCCAAAACAAACACACACATTTCAAAACATCTTACAAACATTGAAAACATTTTCAAAAAAGACAAACATCTTTGTATACATTCTTACGAACGAGAATCATTACAAAGATTGCCTAAACGAATGGCCTCTTTTACAAAATACTTTCAAAACCATACCAAACACATTTTCAAACAAACAAAAGCAAGTGATCTAGCAAGTAACTAAGAGCCCATGGAAAACCATGGATGAAAAGAGTGCTAACACCTTCCCTTTTCATAATCTACCCCCCGAACTCAAGAAAATATCTCAAAGGTCTTTCCTGTGCTTTTTCACCTTTCCTTTTGGATAAAAGAAAAGTCAGTGGCGATTCTTGCTAACCGCAACATTTGCGATAAAATGCAAAACCCTCAAGTCAGTTCTCCCACCGTACCACAGAACTGGCGACTCTGCTGGGGATTATTATAGAAGTGGGGTTACCTTAAGGTTTAGATTACATTTATTTTCTTACATTGTTTGACTTGTTTGCTTTACATTATGGTTCTTTGTTTGGGTTTGAATCCTCCACCCGGATTTGGGAAACATTATAGGTAAATAACAATACATTGTGGAAACTGTGCGGGGTATACCGACATGGTCTAAACAATAACTATGTTAGTGTGACATATTTGTGGGTATCAGTAGCCTTTGAGTCAATCAAAGAGAATACAGGGCCGCTGAGTGATGTCATGAATCACTAATGAACTTCTAGAACCCTTTGCTTGACCAACTTGGCCTTTAGGATGTAGTTAGATGACTGACTTTGGTGCAGTCCGAAGTTGGTAGATACTCGATACTACACTCATTGAGGGTTGGTTTCTTGGGATATTTAGGTCGCCATTAAAGAGGCTTGAGCTGAAACAATGATCAAGGAAACAGTCTAATGATATTGAGCTCCTTAGAACCCGGTTACTATTATTAAGACAGGTTAAGCCAACTAAAACTTCAAGAGGGTACTTACCTATAAAACCCCATGCAAGCCTAAACTAAGAACTTATTTGATTTGCTTGTATATGCATACTTGTGCATAACATCATGGACATCATGAACATCATATGCATCCACTAAC